GCACAAAAGTGAAATCTAGCTTCGATATGCTTACTTCTTCCATGCAAAACTGGATTCTTCGCCATATTTATGGCTGACTTGTTGTCGATTTGCAACACAAGAGGTTTCTTCACTACGATAGTCATTTCTTCAAGTACCGATCTGATCCAAATTGCTTGATATGAAACATAGGATCCTTCTGTATATTCAACTTCACACGATGTCAATGGCACCACAGGTTGCTTTTTCGAACACCATGAGATTGGGGCACCAAATACTTGAAAGAAATATCCAGTTGTGCTTCTTAGATCTTACTTATCTCCATACTAATCAACATCTGAAAACAAGTAATTTTTACTTCTTTGCTTTCAGAGTCTCGTCAAAAATAGTATTCCACAGTTTATCGATCCCTTCAAATATCTCAGGATTCTTCTTGTAACCTTCATGTGCGACACCCTTGGTTCACTCATGTATCTGCTCACTAATCTGACTACGAAACTTATATCAGGTTTACTGTTGCACACATATCTCAGAGATCCCACAATTTGTTTGAATAAAGTTATGTCGACTTTGTCTTCTTCTCCATGCTTCTCCAACTTCACATTTGGTTCGACAGGTGAGGATGCAGGATTTGAATCATCTATTCTGAATCTCTTGACTATCTCTTTGACATATTTCCTTTGATGTAGCATCATACCTAACTTCGACATTTGAAATTCCATGCCTAGGAAATAAGATAATTTTCTCCGATCCTACATTTCAAATTCATTCATTATCAACTCTTTAAACTTCGACAAGTTCTCCAAACTATTTCTAGTTGCTAGCAAGCTATCGACATATAAGCAGATAATTACTATATCTTGTGCTACAACTTGAACATAGACATCATACTTTAATTTGCATTTGACAAACTAAGTATGAGTCGAGCTTCTTCTTTCATGCATAGGTTCCTGCTTGAGGCCATAGAGAGCTTTGTGAAACTTTTATACTTTACTCAATTCCTTCTGAATCACAAACCCTGAAGGTTGTGTGACATAGACCTCTTCTTCTAAAGGACCATTCAAAATGTTGATTTTACATCTAAATAAAATGTCGACCAACCTTTGTTACACACTAGTGCTACCACTATTCGAATAGTCTCCAGTCTTGCTACTGGAGCAAATACTTCAGAGTAGTTGAGTCCTTCTTTTTGAAGAAACCCTCGAGCTACTAAGCTTACTTTATGTCTTGCTATCGACACATCAGTATCGTGTTTCAACTTGAACACCCACTTCACTTTGATAGCTTTTATTTGTGTTGGAAATTCGACTAACTCCCATGTGTTATTTATTTTGATTGCCTGTAACTGACCATAGCTAACTTCCATTGTTGAATCTGTAAAGTCTCTCTATATTTGATTGGTCACCTCCAAGTAAATCAAAATGAACTAATTCTCCATCTGGTGTTACTTCATCATCACCAATTACTTCATACTCTTGAAGTCTAGTTGGATGAAATCTAGTTCTTTGAGGTCTTTGGCTTGTGCTAGCCACACCCTCTTCGACTTTGACATTATCGGGAATGTCAACAATTGCTTCAACTTCGAATGGAATGTTTGCAATTTCTTAGACTTCGACTTCATCAGTTTCTTCGTCGAAACCATAACTCATCAATGGTTTGTTAATTGCATCATTAGAATTCTAACTCCATGCAGAATATTCATCAATCACAATATCTCGACTTAACACAGTATTCTCATTGATTAGATTGGATATCATGTTTTATGATATTCTACCAGAATCATAGGTTCACTCTTGTCATCAAGCTTCCTTCTTCTCGTATGAGGAACATGCTTGTAACATATAGAGCCAAACACCTTCAGATGACTAACTGATAGTCGTTTTCCACTCCACACATCTTCAGGGACCTTGTTCTTCAATTTCGTGGTAGGGGCGTATAAGGAGAAGTTACCTCATGATCAACACCATGTTCTGCATAGAAATCTTTAAACATCTTGGATGTGTATTCGCCATCTCTATTTGTTCGCAGAACTTTGATCTTCTTCTCACTCAGGTTTTCGACAAGTATCTTGAATCTCTTGAAGATTTCAAATACTTTGTCCTTTCGCTTGATCTTATAGATCCACGGCTTTCGACTAAACTCATCGATAAACGAAACAAAATATTTATTTCTACCAATGGTATGTTCTTCGAATGGGCCACATACATTTGAATGTACCACTTTGAGTATGCAGGATGATCTCATTGGTATAGTCGAAACGAAAGAATTTATGGATTGCTTTTCGACTAAACAACCTTTAGAGTTTATCGGGTATCTCAAGACTTGGAATACCAGTAATCATATCTTGAGTAATCAGCTGATTGAGTGATCTAAAGTTCAAATGTTCGAACCTCAAATGCCACAACCAACAGTCCTTGTAGTCGACAACTATTTTCAAACATTGAACTTTTATCGAACTAATCATAGTTTTAAACGTCTTGTTCTTCGACAGAGGAGATTTCAAGACCAAATTATTCTGGGTGTCGAACAATTTTAAAACTCTATCTTTCATGACAACTGAGAAACCTTTTTCGACTAGTTGTCCAACACTTAGTAGGTTGCACTTTATTCCAGGTACATAGAGTACATCTTTGATCATAGCTTTCCCTTCATTGCTCATTTGAAAAACTATGTTACCAGTATCTTATGCTTGCAATGAACTATTATCAGCAAGTTTTACCTTGCTCTCCTTTGACTCGTCGAAATCTACCAACCACACCTTTTGACCAGTCATGTGATTCAAGCATCCTAAGTCGAGAAATCAAATCTTGGATTCGACATGGTTATCTGCAACTGCAGCCATAACCACCATACCTTCATAATCATCTAAATCTTAGCGTGCAAGATTCGCTCATTTTTCCTTTCCTGTCGATCCCTTATCTTTCTTTCACTAACAATTCTTGGCGAAGTGGCCTCTCTTTTCACATTTATAACAGTGCACACCTTTTTATCTTCTTTGTCCTTTCGATAGTTTCCTCATCCTCTTTTCGAGAATTCAGAAGCTCTATCTTCGACCTGATGCTTGTGAGGATTCGATCGAGACTTCTTTCCCCGAGTCTTGTCGATTTTTCCTTTGAATTTGTTGGAATCACCATTCCTTTTCCATGACTGAACTTGCAGAGCTTGTTTTGAGTCTTGAACTCTTTTCCTTTCGACAATCCTAATCTCATGTGCTTCCAACGAACCAACCAAATCTTCCACTTTTAGGGTTTCAAGTTGATTGTATTCTTGAATAGCTACGATAATGTGATCAAAGTGAGAGGTCAGTGTTCATATTACATTCTCAACTATCATCTTATCAGTTATGGTTTCACCACAACCCTTCATGAGATGGACGAGTTTCTGGACCTTAAACACATATTCTGCAACTTTTTCATCTTCTCCCATCGACAATAATTCATATTGTTGATGCAAGGTCTGCAACTTGACAACCTTGACTTTCTCATCTCCTTCATAATACTTGACCATAATATCCCATGCCTCATTCGTCGTTTCAGCATGAGAGATTCTGTCGAAGTTAGCAGCATCAACTGTCGTCTGAATGCAATAAGCAGCCTTGCAATCTTTCTTCTTGACTTCGTTGCGGACAATTTTCTTTGCTTTGGTTGCATCTGCAGCCAGCGCATGAACGTCGTCGGTAACCACTTCTAGGGTATCATGGAAACCAAACAAAAATTGCATATGTTTTTTCCATTGGATCCAATTTTTACTGTCAAGCATTGGAAAAGAATTCAGAATGCCCTTATCACCAGCCATCTTCGCAACGGTTGATTCACTTGTCCTGGAAACAGGATCTCTGACGCGACGTTCTTGAAACCAGGATCAAGAACAATAACCGAAAACTCTGGATACCAATTTGTTAGTGCATGAGACACTTTTAGTGACGAGAGAAAGAGAGAATAATAAGAAAATAAGAATTATATTATTCATTTGAATTGTACAAATAATGATACAGACTATGACTATTTATATGCACATAACTTATACACTAAGTAGACTAATAAATCCTAATTGAACTTAAACTCAGGTTATACAACTTAGATTAGATTTAATATCTCAACATTTTTATTGTCTTTGCAGAGTTTTCATTTGTGCTTTCTCATGAAGAACCCAAAAAACCCAAATATAAAAGTCCTCACTTATGTTCATCATTTGGAGAATCCATCTCCTGTGAGTGTTAATCCTCACTTATGAGGGGAAATTATCATAGGTGGTCGATAAAGATGAAAAGATCCCTCGCATTGAATAACAAGTACAAGTTTGTATATGTGGATCAATTTCATTTCCATATCATACTCTTTTATAGGACACACGGTTGAAACATGCTACAAAAAACATGGTTATCATCTTAAAGTTTGAAAAAGGTAATTCATAGGCCAATTATGCAAATGGACAAGATACTGAAAGCAAATCCATTGGTAATTCATTTAGAAATAATGATGAACATGGAATAACCTTGACAAGGCAATATAGAATAACTTGTTGATTATTTTTTCACAGGAACACAATTTGAAATGCGCAGCAAAGTTCAGTCAGAAAGGAGGAGAATAACTTTCATTAAGCACACATGGCATGTAATGTAACTCTTTCTCAACGTCTTTTGATTTGAAATTGAGTAATTCAAGATGGATGATTGACATCAGAGCCACACACCACATACATACACCATTCAATTGATAGTTTTATCAATCATAGTGAGATTGATCCTATAAAAGTGAACTTACCAAATGGTAATTCTGTTGAAGCTTGTATTGTTAGAAATATTCAATCGACCTAATAGTTTGAAAGTGATTGGTTACCGAGCAAAATTATGAACAATTAAAAGTACAATATTATAGAAAATTACAAATAGCTTAATAAAAAAACAAAATTAATTGATTAAGTTAAGAGGGTAATACATTATTTATCAAAATTCCTATATTTTGCTGTACTTATACATAGACTGTTTTACCCCTCAATGTGATCTAAGATTTTGGTGAGAATCATAACATACTATCACTTAAGAAATTGTGAGTCTTTCTCAATACTCTGCTTGGCATGCTACATTTTGTTTGCTCCCAACCAATGTTCTTGTTCACATTGTCATACACAACCAGATATCCTCGCAATGAAATATCTAAAAAGATTTCATTATATTATCAATATCGACGTGTCAATGATAGTGTCATGTCTAATGTCCATGTCCGTGCTTCATAGGTTAGAATAAACTTATAAAATAATTGTGTTCGAGTTTGAATCGAGTCTAATTCATCATATGGTACTTACCTCCAAGTATAATCGAGGATCCATCATTTACATTGCTACCATCAAGAATAGCTAAGCACACATTGCCTTTGTTCTGCAGCATAAAAGTTTTATTAGAAGGTCTATCAAAAACAAAATCAGTTAGAAATGGAAATAAAAGTTGTTTTAGAGAAGAAGAGGATTACACTAATGATCAAGTAACCCTCCGGTGGTATCCGAAACATTGTCGACAAAATCCACCACTTGTTTCCAAAACGAAGAGTTAATGTCTTGAAGTAATCCTCAACATCTTGGACAGATCTGCATGCATATAACATGGAATTTAGAATAGTCTTGTCTTATTTGGATAAACAACTTAATTAAGCGCTTATAGGATAAACAATTTATATAAGTGTTTACATATAGGCTATTTCTATATCGAAAGATAAAATAAAATCGAACTGTTTTCATAAATAAGTTATAAGCTTTTTTCACAAGCTATCCTTGAGAGCTTTAAAAATGGGCTGGAAACAGCTTATGGATATGTCATAAGCTGTTTTTGAGTGATTTTTTTACCTGATCGGGAAATTAGCTTGCCAACAAATTGGCAAAGTTGTATCCGAATCATCTTGAATGAGTCCCAGCCCAGAAACTTCTTTAAGCTGCATCATTGAATGCATAATGAACTCATACAATATGGGAGTAAAAACTAAAAACAGGTAGATAGTTTTTGCTTAGATGTAAAAACTCACAGAAGCAACAAGATCTTGGTACGCCTCTCGTGGAAAATACGTATAAGAACTGCCACTATCAAAAACCACGTTTCCTACTTTGCTTTGTCCTTCAAAACTGAGTAGGCGATTTCCGTAATTCATTCCAAGAATCTCAGTTTGGTATAAATCTCTGCATAGAATAGTTATGACACATAAATTATAGAAGAATCAGAAGAAACCTCAGAACATAAACAAAATACAACATCAATTTCCGGAATCAATGTTAGTAGTCTCACAATGGATCTCATATTGTAAATATCTCAAACGAAAGAAAAAAACACAATAGAAGCACATTATCAGGAAAATCATGCTTACGTCGTATGAGCCATAGGCACCCAAGTCATACCCCAATAAGGCACAAAAGCATCACCTAAGAACATGTATCCACCACCAACTCCGTCATTTCCTAAGCAATGAGCAACCACATTCTTAATAATCCCTTTACTTGCCAACTGATAAGGTAGGCCAACTTTCGCCCGACTCAGTCCCATGATTCCATCTGTTTTTGCCAATGTGTTCAAAAGAGAGCCCTCTTGATCATATCCACACCTTACAACAAATAAATTGCGTAGAGCGAATCAACACTTTTATAGAATATATTGCCTTAAAAAAAAAAGGACTAAAAGAAGAGATTTCATACCCAAAAACAAAATTTAACTTGGTTTTTGATCCATTAGTAGTCATAAGATGAAGGTCGTCTTTAATAAGAACCCCCAAGGAAGAACTATGGTCTGCATATTGAATTTCATAGTCACACTGTGAAAAACTATCATGATAGCCATTCTTTTGAACTTCCAAGCAGAGAGAGTCTGCAGATGGCAGTATATTGGATCTTGCTGGCTTGTATGGGGCATTTGCTCCCTATATAGATTTTCAATCTCATAAAACTCACTCATATGGCAAAAACATATTAGCACGTATCTACATCACACTCGCTAAGAGGCATTTTCAAATTTTCAGCATACTAAGTTCAGACTATGTGAGTGATCATACGGTAACAACTCAAATCGTTCAGGCAAAAACTTGTTAAGGTATTACCTTTGCACAACTTCTGCATGGAGCATCACATTGTATCCATGTTAAGTCACTCCCTGTATCGACATCAACAAAATAACGTTTTGGAGGGTTTCCGACACGTAAATGTGTGTAATACAACCTGCATTGAAGAACATGTTTGTTGCTAAGCCATTGTACTGATTCAAATGCAACATAGGAAATTAGAATAACCACAAACAAGTACTTCCTAGTTTATCATGATACATACATAGTCATTTAACATTTCAATCACACTAAATTAGTTGATCCAAAATTAAGTCAAATAAGCAAAAGCAATAATTTTTAACATACCCATCTGGAAAAACATTGCCACTGATTGGAAAAACAGTAGATGATGAAGCAACAGAAGCACTTTTTTGTGCCACAAAGTTCCTTTTTTTAACATCAACAAGCTTCCCAAGTTTAAGCTTCAAATCCCTCTGACCAAGAACACCATATTTCGGAAAAAGTGGAAACAGAAAGGAACTAGATTCATCATCACCATCACCATTCTTGAAACCCAATTCAAGCGTTGTTGTAGTTGAGAAAAGAGAGCCGTAGAGAAAAAGGGCAAAGAGAAAAACCCCAAAAAAGGTGAAAAGCTTTATTGGGGTGATGTGAAAGAGTCTTCTGAATGAAAAATGACGCTGCGGATTTGAAGGGTAGGGTTGGAATTGAATAGAAGGGTCGTTGTTTTGAGGTCGTTGTTGAGAATGAGAAGAAGGGTTAAAGAAGGTAAAAGCGGTGATTTTTTTGCCTAAAGAAGGGTTATTTGAAGGTGGAAGGGAAATTATAACAACATGTTTGAGTTGTGGTGAATCATCATCTTCCATAACTGGATTGTTAATAGTGGAAGATGAAGAAGAGAGGGAAGAACAGTGAGGGTGAGATGACAACTTGGGTAACAAGTTTAGGAGTATGGAACAAAGTCATACAAAAGACTAGACTTGGTCATATTATGAGACAGAAAAACGTGTGAAGAAAATTAGTAAGGAAGGATCCTAGCAATCACCCACCCAACAAAACAGAAATTTTGTAGAAGAAAATAATGAAATATAATCGACCGGAATGAAATAACCCATAAGACATGTTTTTTGGGTTTTAAAAGAATAGGGAGAAGAATCAGTATTTTTTTGCAGAGTATCTATATGCTCACAAACTGTGATTTTATTTTACAATTGTAATATTCAAGTGTTACAATAACAAGTGTTACCCTCTCTATTTATAGTTTTAGATTAGTTTGCTAACATTACTAAAATAGACCTAAGTCGAAATCCTATTGAGACAACTCTTTCGATATTTCGACACACACTAGGCTAATTTTCTACACACCCTTGTTTCTATCGAGTAATCTATTTTGACACAAGGAATTACAATCTCAATACACCACCTAATTCATTGTGTCTAAGCTATCTATATTCATCATATATCTTAATTTCTTGAACACTTCGTGTTAGATCCATGATTTTAGGATTGACAACAATTTTGCTAAAATATGGTTCTTGACATATGTTGAGCAAGATGTCATAACATCTTAACCAAACTGATACAGCAGAGTGTGAGCTTACATTGGAGACAGATGCTCTGACAGATGTTGTGACATGTTGTACTAAAATATCAATACATGTTGTTTTAAATCTTGACAGATTTGATTTGATTTTGTGATATTTCTTTTGGATATATCTCAATGATTTGTGCAGATCGAGAAGATTTAGTCTGGAATAAGTGATCTAATCTTCATTGTACATAAGTTTCTAAAATTAGATGTTGAGACAATTTCGGAAATTTGATGTTTTGTTCCAAGATTTAAGGAGACTTTTCTGCATAATTGACACAACCCTCAGCTTGTAGATCAATAAATATTTGGGTGAAGATTTCGAAGCCCGTGGACTACTGAGAAGTATTTAAAGAGAAACATATACCTAATATATTTTAAGTCTTTCACAATTGTAAAATTAGGGGAAGGTTAGAGTCTTAGGTTTTGAGAGTCTCTTGTATTTTTGTAAGTCACTCATGTATCTTTTGATACAGTGAGGTAGACTGATTGTTACTTGATTGTTTGTCAAGTTATTATTCTTAGTTTAAAGTTTTTAAGCAAAATTAAGTATTGTTCTCACTCATGAGCTTTTAAGTAAAGAGTTGAGTATTATTGTATTTGAAGTATAATCTTCTGGTTTTGATTCTAGTCACTGGTTTGTGACTGTATTTATCACTGAGGTGGTTGATAGGAAGTGAGAGGGGATCTCATATCTAGAAGGTTTCTAAGTAGAAGTTGCGCAAGGTAGTGATTAGGCGAGAAGTAGTAAACGGAGATTGTTTAGGCTTTTAACTAATGATGTCATAGTGAATTTTCTTCCTGACTTGGTAGTCCATAAAGTATGTGACATTGTGTAACACCCCAATTTTAGTAATTAGTTATATATATTATATTAATTAATTGTTTGATTTTGTGGGTAATTGGTTTTATTTGAATTATTTGATATATGTTATATGTGATGGGTTAGTCGGGTTAAGTATGTTGAACCGTAGAATTATAATTAGTAATGATGTTGATTTATGATGGAATTATTTTATTAAGTAAGAATTGTTAGAACAAAATTGGTTCTAATCATATCTCAGAGTTTTGATGATAACAATAAAATATATTTTATATAATTGATACTCTGATGAGCATATTTATTTGTTTCAGATAATGTTCTGACTGAAGTATTTGACGTGCTGAGCTGAAAATAAATGAAGATGTTCTTTGATGAAAGAACTATTTGTTTTAGCGCAAGTTCTGATGTTGACGCTGATAAGAAACTATTTTAATGCATCTTCTAAAGCTTAGCAAGTTTCCATGTAAATCATGTTCAGAAGTACTTTGAAAGCAAGTGCTGATCAGAAGTACTTTGAAAGCAAGCTATGTTCAGAAGGATTCTGCAAGCAAGACGTGAAGCTATGTTCTGAAGTATTCTACAAAGCAAGCGCTGATCAGAAGTACTTTACAAGCAAGCGCTGATAAGAAGTTGTGCAAGCATATTCTGAAACAAGATGTCTACGCTAGTTTTGAAAGAATAAAGTAGCTAACAAGTCTTGTCAAGTTTCAGGAAACATGCTCTGACAAAGTGTCGTTTGCTCATTTAATGCAAAGAAGGCTACATGCACTCAAGTGTCTACGCTAGTTCATTGGAAAATGAAATATTGCAAGCAAACACACAAACATTAATTGCTCCACACTTTTGAAGGCAGAAACGGTCATTTTCTTCAGGCTATAAATAGAAGATCATTTATTGCAAGCCAACTACTCAACAAAATCCAAAACAGCAAGATCTACGTGAAAATATTCTGGGCTCACAAATTATTTTACAAACACATTGTGCAAAACTAATATTAGTGAAAAATCACAGTTTGTGATATAGCTTTCTTAGAAGCAAATTTATTTCACTATCTGTAAAGATTTAATTCTTGTAATTGTTCCTTGAGAGACCAAGTTTGGTCAGATTTCTCAAGAAGGCTAGGACTAGTTTGAGTCTTAGTGGTGTTAGTCACTTGTAAGTTTACTTGTGCATTATATTGTTAGTCACAATAGTTGTTGTGTGATTGTAATCAATTGATTATAGTGAATTAAGTTCTTGTTGAGAAAGGCGAAATCACCTTGGTGGGTGGACTGGAGTAGTTTGAGTTCAAACAAACCAGGATAAAAATAATCGTGTCTTTCCATTATTGTTGAGCCTTTAAGAAAAAGAAAAAGAGAAACTTATTCAACCCCCCCCCCCCCCCCCCCTCTAAGTGTTTTCTCACCCTTCAATTGTTATCATAACTTGACTCTGAGCGCAACACTTAACCGTGTCAGGAAAAGATCTAGAAAGAAAACACAATGGCAAATGAACAAAACAATAATAACTACACCAAACCTCCAGTGTTTGATGGAGAATATTTTGAATATTGGAAATATAGGCTAGAAAGTTTCTTTTTAGATCATGATAGTGATTTATGGGATGTAGTCTTGGATGGTTACACACATCCTACAGACTCGGAAGGAAACAAGATTGATAGAAAAAATATGGATAGACAACAAAAAGCTGATTTCAAAAATCATCACAGAGCTAGAAATATTTTTCTAAATGCTATCTCTAAAATGGAATATGAGAAGATCACAAATAGAGATACAACACATGATATGTTTGAGTCTCTCAAAATGACTTATGAAGGAAACACTTAAGTGAAGGAGACTAAAGCTTTGGCTCTCATACAGAAGTATGAAGCCTTCAAGATAGAAGAAAGTGAATCTATAGAAGCCATGTTCTCAAGATTCCAAACTCTGATGGTTGGCCTGAGAATTCTAAACAAGGGATACACTAAAGCAGACCACGTCAAGAAGATCATCAGAAGTTTACCCAGAAGATGGGAACCTATGGTCACTGCTTTCAAAGTATCAAAAGATCTGAACAACGTGTCTCTTGAAGAACTCATCAGCGCTCTAAGAAGTCATGAGATAGAACTTGATGAGCACGGGCCTCAGAAGAAAGGTAAGTCTGTTGCCCTTAAATCAATTAAAAATATGAAACTAACGCTTTTCAGGCTGAAGAAGAAAACTCTGAAGAATCTGCTTCAGAAGAAGATGAACTATCCTTGCTCTCCAGAAGGATCAACCAAATGTGGAAGCATAGACAGAAGAAGTTCAGGAACTTCAAGAAGTCAGAAGATAAACCAGAATCTTCTGGACATAAAAAGTCAAACAGAAGAGAGATAATCTATTAAGAATGCAATAAACAAGGTCACTATAAAAGTGATTGTCCAAGGCTTCAGAAGGAGAAACATAAAGGGAAGTTTGTTAAGGAGAAGAAGAAAAGTCTTATGGCAACATGGGACGATTCAGAATCCTCTGAAGATGAATCTGATTCTGAAGATGAAAACGCCAACCTAGCTCTGATGGCTACCACAACAGATGACTCAGATTGTGAGTCAAAACTAAAAGAGGTATTCTCTGAATTTACTAGAGATGAACTTGCTGAAAGTTTATTAGAACTTCTGGAAAACTATAGTTAGCTCAAAATCAAATACAAGAAACTCAAGAAGAGTCTTGCATCTGATCTTGAGAAACATGAAACAGAAAAATCTGAACTCAAAGAAAATAATTTTAAACTTAAAGAGGAAATTCAAAATGTTAAAAAAATTTCTAGTTCAAATTATGTGTCAAGTTCAAAAGATATTCTTAAATAATATGACTGTAGCTTTCAACCTTTTCTTGCTAAAAGCATAGATAGAAGCAAAATGGCTTCAATGATCTATGAAGTTAGTGGGAACAACAGAAGAGGAATTGGATATGAAACTCCCAGAGGGAAGGAGACATATATACCAAAACATGTTGCTAAGATGACTTTCACTTATAAACCTCTGAACAAACAATTCAAGTTTGGACACACACATGATATTAAATATACATCACATTCTGGAAACTCTTATGCTAATCCAAAGTTCAAACAGAACTTTAAATACTCTAACCCAAGAGGACCCAAAAAGATATGGGTACTTAAGGAGAAAATAATATTTGTTGCAGATGTCCTTAACAGCTCAATTGAGACACCAGTCATGGTACCTGGACTCTGGGTGCTCACGACACATGACGGGAAAAAAATATATGTTCCAAAACCTGGAATTTAAAGTTGGAGGAGACGTCAAGTTTGGAGGTAATCAGAAAGGGAAGATTATTGATTCTGGAAGCATTGGAAACGGTAACCTTCCTTCTATCTCTAATGTTTTATTAGTAGAAGGATTAGCGCATAACCTGCTGTCCATAAGTCAATTAAGTGACAACGGTTATGACATTATCTTTAATCAAAATTCATGT